CCATTGCACTTGTGGGAAAGAAAAAGTGAAATATAAAAATATTTCATGGATGTGTAAAAAATATCTTTTTAATCTTAAATATATTTATGATAGTTTAATAACTCTAAATCTGATAATATATTTAAATACTTATAAATCTATCATCTGTTAATTTCATAAAATCATCATATAATATTTTAAAAATTAAATTAGGGAATAATTTAATGTAATTTCACTCTGTGAAATCACAATATTATCTACTTAAAATTAGTGTGAGAACTTTTGACCTATGGTAGGTAGACCATGGAAATTTCCTAACTCCATTTTAGCAAATTTTACTATGAAAAAATAAGAGTTTAATAACCAATAGTAGTACTATCCATAACCATTTAGAGGTTAAATATACACACGTACCTTCAAATCTCCCTAGGCATATATAGTTCAGAGACTGGAGTTATGTGAAATACAAAAACCGATGAAGTCATGAGGTTTTTATTTCATGTCTTTGATATAGTAAATAATAAATAGGGTTTGTGTTCTTTTAATGTCCTTAATGAGTTGTTACAGGTTAGCTGTAAGGTTTAAGGTTTCGCTCCGTGTTGTTAAAATGCATTTAACTATTTATATAAGTTATACCATAATGGCTTCCATTTGGAATGAAAACATAAATTATTAATTGATTGATAATAAAATTTTATGTTAATAATGTTTATTAATTTATATAACGACAGCCATACTGTAAAACTTGTAGTACAATTTTATTACAACGTGCGGTTTTCAGGTATTTTTGTCAATCTTGGCTTCAAGTATATCCAAAAAGACAAAAGAAAAAAAATCGTTATTTTGAACTTCACCTCATTTTCTTAAACATGCAGTGAAATTTGAACGAAAAATATATTCTATAAAATAAGAAATTTTGTTTTAAGAATAATTTTAGTATTTCAACTTATAGGCTTTTAACTGTAACCATGTACATAATAAATAAGAAAGCAATAGTATCCTGATGTGAAAACGATCTAATTTACAACAGAGATGATCTCAATTTCGGAAAATAAATTATAATTGATCGGAAATCTAATAAAAGTGTAAAGCTGCTCAACAGTGTTGATTTGATAACTGACAGCATATTGATCAGCCTTATCGATAATATTTATTAAAGCAATAAAAAAAGGATTAAATTTTACGGGACTACCAATCTAAATACCGAATGTTATGATTTTCATAATTTTCTCATTCTCCTCATTTTCTAATAAATAATGAGAAAGTAATAAATATTAATCATTTATTAATTATTTATATTTTACGTATTAAAACATTATAAAGGTAAGGTTTTTAAATAGCATTTAATACGAAACATAATACTTTTTTTACGAGTTAAAATTCTAATACTTAATTTTAATACATTTATAAATAGTTAAAAATCACTGTAGCATTGTAATTCCAAATCGCAATAGTTATGACAGAATTCTCACATTCAGACTAAACTCTGTTTGCAAGAACAGCTGAGGATAATGGCGCAGAAATAAGACGTACTAAGCACCTTAACGATACTTCGTAGACAACTGGGATCATGCATGTCTTCGCCGTAATTGAGTTTGCAAACTCTGAATAGCCTTTTCGTCGATGACATCGGCGATCCGTCATTGTCCAAGTCTAAGGGAACTAGGGATTAATACCCAGGGAGGCTACCCAATTGCTTCGGAGTCTTCCCCGAGCTTACGGTCCAAGTTACAAGAAACTTTGCCCGGAAAGATACCACGAATTAGAACAAGTTGAGAATAATACAAGGCGGTATTCATGGAAGCAAATACTTTGGCCAACTTTTAATTAGCAGGCTCAAAAGGTTCGCTACGAGGTCAGAAAACTGAAACGATAGATCGGAATAAGAAGTTTTAAACGAGAAAAGTTGCCGCCTACGGAAATAGAAGATTAACGGATCACTTTATAATTTTTGGCAAATTTGGTGGAAAAAAAAACTTCAACTGATGTTGAAGAATTAAAAGAAAAAGTTTTCTGACAGTTGAGAAATGAATAATTCAATTATTTTTATTACTGATAAAAATTTAAATATATAAGGACATGTTTGTCCCGATTGGTATGAACTAATCTAGTTTTTAAATTGTTTAATGATTTTGATGATGATTAGAAGATATAAAAAATATGTATTCATTAAAATAGATTTATTTGCTTGTAAAACTTCGATTTTCGTCTTAAAAACTTACTTATTATGTCATTTAGTCATACTCATCATTTAGCCTCTTCAGGTAGTACCGTGTTGATTGTTATAATTTAATAAAGAAATCATTATAATACAAAATTAAAAGTATCAAAGCCAGAAATATTGTAAGCTTAAGTGGGTTGTTTTTCTGATAATTCATCCAAACCGGTTCATTATACTAAATTAGAAATAAAAAATCTGGCGCGCGCAACATCCAACTTTCACTTACCGCTCAACTTTGAATGGAAATTATTTTCAGGCCATGTTCAGGCTATTATAAAATGTTTGAATTCCTTTTTTATCTGAGCTAAAGTTGAAAGGTTGAAGCTAACAAATCATAATACTATTAAAATAACAAAAATCCTATTTATTATGAATTGTTTCATTCGTTGGTTATGGATTGTACGACTATTAGTTCTTATACTGTTATTTGCTATTGCAAAGTTCACTAAAATGAAATAGAGAGATTTGCATTGTCTGTCATAGACAGGTGAAAAGTTATCACACTGATTGTAAGTAGATTCTGTTGGAATATCGAAAAGGGAAAATTTATCAAATTATTCACTAATTTTTTTTTTATTATTATTTTAATGGAATTTACAACTGTATTACATAGAAAATATAATAAGTAAATGTGAAATTGGTAACATGACATGTACAACATGAAGAGAAACTCTCCATTGGTAGAACTCAAATTAAAGTTCTATATTAGATCTTTTTTTTTTTTTTTTTTTTTATTTTAATGGATTCACTAATTTAATTTTCTAAAAGGTTACATGATGATTTTTCGGAATAATCGGATGATAAATACCTAATTATTTAAATATAATGTCAGATCTAGAGTTATTAAGCTACAGTAAATATATTTAAGGTTATAAACGTATTCATGAAATATTTTTATATTTCACTTCTTCTTTAACACAAGTACGATGAAACATTATCTTAAACAATGTCATTGCCTTGAATCCATGGGTTTTAAATATTTTTACAAACTTTTAAAAAAAATTTAAAGTTTACATTTAGTAAGAAAATTGCATTTAATTTCCCAGAAAACATGTTATTATTTATATTTTTTTTCGCCAATCTTCATTACCTTCTACAACTTTCTGTATTAGATATTATTTTTCCTAAAATTCTCCACTTTCCAATGATATATAATACGTATACCTTCTGACCATCAATTCCGGAGATTCATTTTCGACCTGAATAAGTATTTTTATTTTTTTCTCCTTTATTTAATTATCATATTCTTCTAAAAGTTATAGTTAGTATTTTTCCATAACTTCTAACAATGACAAATTGTTATTATTTATAATAAACTAAATTAAAGGTACTTTAGAGGAAGATATGATAATGTTGAGATTTCACAAAATTCATCAAATTATTCACTAATTTAATTTTCTCAAAAGTTACATGACAATTTTTTGGAATAAACGTTGATACCTAATTATTTAAATATAATATCAGATCTATAATCACTAAACTACAGTAAATGTATTTAAGGTTATGAACATATCCTTTATACATCCATGAAATGATTTTATATTTTACTTCTTCTTTCACACAAGTACAATGAAATAGTTTTGTTAACAATGCCATTGCCTTGATTAGGTGGATTTTAAATACTTTCTACAAACTTAAAAATATTTTTTAAATTTTACATTTAATTAGTAAATTTCATTTAATTTCCTTAAAAATATATGATTTACGTTAAACATTATCAGTTTTCAATAATTATTATTTATAAATTTTAGCTACTCTCCGTTACCTTCCACAACTTTCTATATTAAATATAGTTTTTTCTAAAATGTCCCGCTTTCCAACGATATATTATAAGTATACCTTCTGACTTGTATTTCTGGAGATTCATTTTCGACCTGTATAATCATTTTTATTTTTTTCTCCTTTGTTCAATTATCAAATTCTTTCAAAAGTTATATTTAGCATTTTTTTCGTAACTTTTAATAGTGAGATAGTTGATTATTTAAAATAAACCATATTAAAGGTACTTTAGAGGAAGAAGCATATGAACATTGGACATTTAAGCCCAGTGATGTGACATCAACGAGGATAAGACCTAAATGATATTAAAGATCATTTAATTATACAATGATACACCGAGTTTAATCAAAATCGTTAGAGCCGTTCTTGAGAAAATTGTAAAAATTGGTTTTAGCGTTGATAGTAAGTGGCACTTCCGGTTAGCCGATTTTAAGGAAAAAGTTGCCAGTACATCTAAGGCGTGTATCTATCTTAAATATGTAATATCAGTTTCGTACGACTTTTTGGTTTCGATCTAGTGTTCACATACACACAGACCATTTTTCAGGACTTGGTTATTTGGACACAGAGGACCTCAAAATGTGTATTTCCGTTGAAAACTCAGATTCAAAAATTTTCACGATCGCAATACTTACCCTTACTATATATTACATATATAGGTAAGTGAGCGTAAAAATCACTCCTTAATCCCTATTAAACACATCTACCTTATAATAATAAAAAATAAACACCATATCCTCATAAATTCACTAGTCTATAACCTAGGTCCCTAAATTACAACCTTTGAAGGCTCTACATTTCTTAGTGGTTATCCAACTTCCATTCTGTGACATACATGGGGATGTACTCAGGTTTTAGGAAAGGACAATACACAATATTGATTCATTTAAATCTTCTCTAGGTTGCTATTATGAATTATTATTGTGGATTTTAATTGTTATAAAAGTATAATACATTTTTAATATGTATTTCTAAAATCATAACATTAGACATATTATTCAGCTAGTGGTTTGTATAATAGGTCTGAAAAAAATGAGAAAAAACCAAGTGGAACTAGTAGTAATGTTCAAGAAGAAAACAAACCTAACCGGAGAGGAAAAGCAACAAAGGGAAAAAGGCTGGGGTCTGTCTGGAGGCATGCTGCAGGGGAGCACCTTGAGCAGGTCAGAAGAACTTTGGAGGCTGAAGTCGTTGAGCATGAGGAATCTGTTATGGGTAAGATATTTGTTAAATAAATTATAAAAGTAACAATAACAAATTCTTAAAACAATTCTTGACTGTTTCAGTTCTTGTTGCCATGAATTTCAGTGCTGATTTACTTATTTAATAATTGAAATTAACAGCATTATATTCACCAAAGTTTAAAGAACAAAAATATATAAAGACCTAAACCATAGCAATGTCATAACTGTAAACATAGCAAGGTGTTAACATTACATAACTGACAAAGACGACAAATATAAATTTGAGGTCTATTATTAAATTATAGTATTTAATTACTTTTATTAAAAAAAGCTCACAATGATTATGATTTTTTAATTATTTTTTATTTTAGATTTTCTTTATACATATTCCTTTTTTTTGTATTATTGATGTACCAGTTTTGCAGCATATAATAAGTGATGTCTAGACTCAGAGAAAACTAAGGCCTTCTTAATCAGTTTATAACTTTTTGAAGTTAATAATTATTTTCTATACCAGTATTCTCAAATATTTTTTGTTGCGGCAACCCTTGTTGGGTTGAAAATCAATTTTTTTTTTATGTCTACATTTTATGCCATTTTCATCTGGACTGCAGCGTACCTAGCAAATTTGATTTTTTATTACAAATTAGTGGTGAGTTTGCTTGATTAGCTTCAATTTTTTTGTTATTGTAGGAGTAGGTCCCTTTGCCGTTTTCTTTTTAGTCTGTGTCGATCAGGTAACAGAGAGCAGAAAATAGAAAGGACTAGTGGATTGAAGTGATTTTGAGTTGAGGAATGAAATGAATTGTATTTGTCGTTGATGTAGGATTTTACTATTGGGATTTTTAAGTCGTTATGTATTATTTGAAATTTATCAAGGTGCATTTACAATTTTTTGTAGAATTTTGTATTGTTTTGTTTGCATTTTATTATTATGTGTTTTTGTTTTGCCAAACCCCAAATTTCTGCTCTGTATATCCAAATTGGTTTCAGTATAGTTTTTTAGATCAGTCGCTTGTTTCGTAAGTCAAGTGAGGATCTGTAGTCCAGAAGATGTGAGAGTTGGTTATATCGTCTTGTCGTAGGTAAGTCTTTTGTTTAAATAGAGTCCAAGGCATCTTACATAGTTTTTTTTTTAAGTAAAGTTGATTTACTTTAATTTAATTTTGTTATTAAATATGAAGTTACAAATTTTTAAAATGTTTATTCACCATATTGACAATTTTGACCATATATATTAAATATGATAATTAAATATTATTGCTCTGGCCATACTGCTATGCATTTGTGACACCTCAGGGTGCTGTTTCACCCACTTTCAGAACCCCAGTCCTAAATATCAATTGATTCCTCTATTCTACTGAAGATTTTTATCTCTCAGTTAATAACCTTCAGATTATTTTTCACCAAAATCAAATTCGAAACAATCATATTTCTGAAACAATAAGAAAAATCCATCTTAATAATTCTTTATATATCATTTATTGGAATGATGTATTAGAATTATCATAAACTTATCATTTATTTCTTTGCCGCATTGATATCTCCTATGTGCCTCAATACTCCATTCTTTGATAGAAAATTAAAATTTTCATATTGTTAATCATCTTACCTTCCTTGCTTTTATACATCTACTTCTTTAATAAAATATCTCAACCTACATTCTCCTAAATCCTTTCTAATAAAACTACTTCTTTTGAAAAATCCCTTCTTTGTACTATTTTATTTTGGAATCCTTAACATTTCCTTTAAAGCCTAAGTCTATATAGACGGAATTTCATCTAAATCTTCTTCTAATTATTCCTTAATTTGCTCAACTATGAATCTTCTACATATGTATAGAGATAATATTATCTTTATTATCTGATAAATTTTGTCTGAAATTTTCTATCCATTCTACGTACATTTACAGTTAGGCCAATGTACCTAGAATTGATTGTCTTTGAGATGTATCTATTGATACATTAACTGTATATTTTCCAGGTATCTATCTTTTCCAAATCTTTGAAACCAACAAAACTCTTCAAGTCTGAGGAATTCGGTTATTCTTAAAGAACTTTTATTATTTTTTATTTCATTTATTTTGTTTTAAATGTTTATTTAATCATTTTCCTTTGATTGTTTATTTATTATATTTTTTATTATAAACACTTTTGCAACACAAATTCCAGCTGTTAAGGTTGTAATGAACTCATAGAGCACACTGGCAAGCACCTTTTATGAGGACTGCACAAATAAATAAATACTTATAAAGAAAAAAATAATTAAAGAAGCATTAATTGGTAAGCTATATACCAGTATTTTAGATACTCGAGAATTTGATTTTTTAATCTTTCAATTATATCTTTGTAAACCATAACTTATTATTTAAATAACTGCTAAGGCAATACAATTTTATTCAATAGCTTAATTTTTGCACTTCAAAAAGAACAATTTTCTTAGAACAATCATGAATAATAAACAAATTAGACATAAATTTTTAGAACATCTAGCATTAATTTAGTTGCATTAATGCTGACTTGGAGTATTACAATAAAAATTTTATCACCAAGCATTTGCTTTTGTTATAGATGTACTCTCAAGCGTGCATGCCATGTCCGTCCTGAACATTCTCCACAATGCACTTACTCTCTACAAGAGGGTGATAGGGAGCAAGCAGCAGTGCACCCCTAGCCAGAGGTGAGCAGGTGAGAGTTTGATAACAAAACCCCGAGCCTTCTTGGAGCCATTTTATTTGCCCTCATTCGTCTATTTAAATAATTACCGATATTAGATTAGTCACAAATTATAAAGGTATAGTCAAAACTAATTGACTCATGAAACAGCAGTAGAGTTTTTATCATTTATATAACCGTGTTTCTATTTTTTATCATCAATGTTGTTCATTTTGGGTAATATTGATTTATTTTTTGTAAGGACTAATCAGTAATATTTAATGATAGCATAACTATTTCAAGCTTTTCAAAACTGTAAGAAAATATTTTCAAGTATGGCTCAACTGGAAACTCCTGATAAATTATTTTAGCTGTCTTGGACCTCTCAGGCATGCTAAAAAAAAAAAAAAAAAAATTTAAGCCCAATGTAAATTACTCAATTCTAAGCCTGGAAGGAAATGTGTAGTATTGCAAGTTTTCCTTACACTTATCTTATGATGGGCTGAGGAGGAGGAATACTAAGGTTGTAATTTGTAAATATTTATAGACAGATACCCAATTAATATTGAGTCTATTGATCTAGTAGCATTTCATTACATCCATCATTTTGTCTTGATTGCCAATCATAATATAATTTTGATAAAAGTCTTTTTACAGCCATAAATAGAAACAAGAAAAAGTTTCACTAAAAATGGTTTAGTATTTTTTTTTTTCGGAAAATTATACAAAACAAGTAGGTTTTTTAGAATCTTTGCAATTTTGTTTTAATGGTTATTATCATATAAACGTTTTTTATGGTACTTTATAATGATGAAAAAATTTCCTTAAAAATTAGTTCAGCTGTTTTCTCAGGAAGAACGATAAAAAAATCTCAACAGGCAGACAAGTACTATTTGATTTATTAGAATAATAAAAAAAATTGGTATTTCCTACTTATGCCGTTTTAAATTTTTCTTAAAATATTCAATGAAAAACTGACCAGTACCAATTTAAAATTGAGGGTAAATAAAATGGCCTAAGCGAATGTCCAGAGTTGTTAACATTATTTCTTTTTCTTATTTTTTTAAATTTCAGATACAGGCAAGAACCTAATATAAATTATACCAATTACAAGGCCATTTACAATGTTCATCAACTCTGGACCGTACTTCTTTTAAGGCTTCCTTGTGTTGTATGTCGAACGATTTGCATGAAGTCAGCTTAAAAGTATAAGAAGGCATGTCAATGTATAAGTAAAATCATTAATATTGAAATAAATGTCGTAATGTAGGATTTTCTAAACCTCTACTTTTATAGATATTCCAGAAACCATGTAATAAGTTAGTAAGCATGAATAATGAACATATGTTTTTCTAAGAAATGATATATTAAATGAAGTACCACTCCAATTTTTATTACCTTTCATTCAATATAAACAAAGTAAAATAAATGATTGCATTGGAAATCAGTTACAAGTTAAAACTGTCATAAATTAATTTTTAAAAATTAATCAGATATTTCATACACCTGATTTATAACAGGTATGAGATAATCGATTATTAGCTATTATTTTATACTTATCCATTTTATGTGGTATGGATGATTTAAATAGTTATTCAGTATAGTATCACTAGTGTTTCCTTATTTTATTCATTCTGTAATTAGCTCCCCATTCTCTTTACGGTATAATAATCTGATTTAATTATTGTTTTCTGTTTTTTCTTGTGTCTAAAAACATACCCATTATTGGTTTTTTTTTATAAAGGAAGGAGATGGTCCGGGGTGGCTGTCATAAATATATTTCTATTTATATATTATGTATTTATCTATGACTGCCACCCCGGACCATCTCCTTCCTTTATTATGCAATGGTCAACTATTAAATATTTAATATGATTTTTTTTATGTTGTTACTGGGATTCATCAATAGAATAAAACTACGATCAGGGATAGAGCACTTTATTACATTTAAAGTATTAACATCAGGTACATCACATATAGCTTCCATGCTTGCTCAAGTTACACTGTGTTGGCGTCCTCCCACCAAAAACAGTGTTGCCATAATCCACTTTCCAAACACATATTAATAATAGTGGATAGTCCACTACACCCTTCCCTCCTAAAGAGAGAAACAACAATATACTTTACATATGTCTCCTTAGACGGTTATTACCCTGAGGTAGGTTTTTAGCACTTGTCAGATATAGATTGTGTGTGAAGTAATAATAATAGCTTTATTTCTAATAATATATATATATATATATATATATATATATATATATATATATATATATAATATATATATATATATATATATAAATTATTAGAAATAAAGCTATTATTATTACTTCACATACATACGAAACATTATGGTGAATATAACACAATACAAATGAACAAACATGGTAGATCAAATATACAATATAAATTAAAAGTCATATTATATACAATAGTAATTATAAAAAAATGTTTATATGTACATTTTCTATGGACAACCCTTTGCCAAAAACAGTGTTGCCATAATCCACTTCCCAAACACATATAATAATAGTGGATAGTCGGCAACACCCCTCCCTCCTAAGGAAAGAAACAACAATATACTTTACATATGTCTGCTCAGCCGGTTATTTAATCCAATCTAAATCAAGAATTCATTCTGTAGTCCGTTACCTTCTGTTCATAAAATTTATAATTACAATCCTAATCTTAGCTATACCAACAACCTAATTATACTATTTACAAAGATGTTTACACAATATATTTACAAGTTATCCAGTTTGGGTTACCTAACGATGTTTTTGCCAGGACCCTCTAGCTCATCAATAGATGGGACGCTAATTTAAAACCCTTTTTTTATCCTCTGGAATAGGATAAAGACTACCATGTCTCACTATAACATAATAAGTGACCTGCCTTAACATGATCCAGGATCATATAGCCTCCATAAAACTCATATTCTAGAATGAATAGGGTGACTGGTAGCCCATCACACTCAAAATCATACGCAATAAGTCCTTGAAACGACTCCTCATACAATCCTGCTCCTTCCCTACTCCAGTCATCGAACTTTCCTAACTCATATTTTAAACGTAGAGTTGTCTTTTCTAGAATCAAAGGCATTTTTGGACTAAAAGAACTATCATGCTTTTCTGTGCTGGACCTCACCCCTTTGTACTTGATTCGAAACCCGAGAAGTTCTTTCCTGGTAACTACAACATTAGCTGGATGGATCTCTACAGGAACCTCTGTTACAAATTTTTCTTGAAGAATTTCTTTCCCGATCCATTATCATTTGGAGAATTGATTTTGCTCAGCTCTTCAGCAACCATTCGCTTCTCATCATCTCTCCAGATGTTCAACCCAGCTCTTGGGTTTCGAGTACTTTGGAAAGGACATGGTGAAATTTTAGATGACACTAAAGACATAAACAAAATAACCTGCTCGGTACTTGATGCTAACGCTTATCACTAATCTTCACACCCCCGATCCCATACTCGTCACCATTTTTATGTTCTTTCTGGGGTTCATCAATACAATAAAACTATGATCGGGGATAGAGCACTTTATTACATTTGAAGTATTAACATTAGGTACATCACATCTAGATTCCATGCTTACCCAAGCTACACTGCGTTGACATCCTCCCGCCAAAAACAATGTTGCCATAATCCACTTTCCAAATACATATAATAATAGTGGATAGTCCACAATAATTTTGATTGGCAGTCCACTTTCATTTATTTAGACTTAACATGTGTGAAATTATTAAAATTAAAAAAAGTCATAATTTTTTAATTAAATAATGATCGGGGTAGACAGCAATTAATATCATCTTTTATCCATCAATTTATGTATTAAGATGCTTTGACCCTTAAATAGCAATTATAAAAAAATATATTGAAAAACTCAAATCCCTGTAAACTTCAGTTGTATTATTCTTAAGGGTTATTGGCATACGCTTATAATATAGACTTCATGAATGTTAGAAGTTTTTAGAAACGAAATGGCATTACTAATTATTTCTCCATCATTTAGTAGAACCTCATTCAGAAATATATAAGGTCTGTGTACTCAAGAAGAATTGTATTTAAACTTCTGTTTACATTTAAAAAACTACTTGTCTCAGATATATGTTTTGGTATCAGGAGTCATAATTATCGAATATCCAGACCAATCAATATTAGCTCTAGACCAGATAATCGACTATTCACTAATTTCTATGTCATATTTAAGGGAAAATTAACTATTCAAAAAACACAAAGTCACTTTTTGATTTCAATATTTACTAAGATAATCAGGGACAAATCTGAAGTTTGAATGCTCCTAAGCCTAAGAGATTTTGTCACCCGCTCTTCAGATAATTTTTTTCTAGAAAATAATTTAATAATTATGTAAATCAGTTAACAGCACAAAAGATGATTAAATTAAGACTTTTTTTTTTTAATTTATCATAAAAAATGTCATTGTTAATTAAACCTTTTTGTTATTTTTATTATACATCTCCTGTTATTGTGCGACCCAATGTCCAGACCTTGTTGGCCTAATTTGTAAATATGGTCCCAGGTGCAATCTATATAAATAAAATAAAACTCCTGTATGTATTATTTAATGTTCAATCAAGGTGAGAAAGAAATAAAACTAGTATTTTTTTTTATCCTGTGCCAATTTCTTAGCTGTCAGACTTTAAACATTAAGTTTAGATCTCCTTCGATAAGGTATGTCATTCCTCATTTCCCTCCTTATGTTATCCAAAATAAGGCATATGTGCAGATGATCACCATCATTGCTGATTGATTCTATTTTTTCACTTTTTATTCCTATTTTGTTAAAATGTGCCTGCAAAACAGTAAGTATTCTGTAGAATGAAACTGCATCTTTTCTTGATAGATCATATAGGAGTTTATTTTGTATGATAGATTCATATCTATTTCTTGCAACCTTTCCTTAATTTTTCTTTTACACCAGCTTTAAAAAGTGTTTTTATCATATATTGTGCAGATGTGTAAGATAAAGGGGAGTCTTACAGACGGCTGTAGTAATCGGCTGTGGACATCTACGGCTGTGGCAATAGAAAATCTTTCTTTGCTTGAATATTAGCTGCGTTCATATCATTTCCTGCACACAATGACTGTTGTGACTGCACACACTTTTATTGTATAATGATATTAATCCACTCCTCTTGGAGAAGTCAGCAGCAAACAAATGTATCTAAAGATAAGTGATCTGTTTCACTAGTTGCCTGTATGGCTGCTTGCCTTTCCAAAAGTATAGTGCCATTTCTATTGAGTATGGCTCTTAATGCTTCTAAAGCCAGAAGAATAACTTTCACTTTTCTATTAAAAGTTGAACTAAGCTTGCTTATTTACTTATTTGGACCTGGTCTACTTAGACAATTTATAATCATCGGTGTAAATGCCAAGAACTTTAAGGATATGGTTGGTCTATTGCCTCTAATACAAGCATTTTTTTTTTTTTTTTAAATCCAGAAATATCAAATGATAACAACAAACGATTTTGAAAAGGTTCACCTTTTAAATTCAAAGAACACAAGTTGAGAATCGCAGTTAAAAAAAAGAAATGAATATAATTAAAAATTTTAATTATAATAATAAACCTATGTTTATTATACAAAATCGTAGTTCTTTAGATTTTTTTGTGTATTCATAAAAAAATTGAATAAGAAATAAAGACTTGTTCTTTTAAAATTCTTGTATAATACTGTAACTCATAAAAATGTTTCAAACTAATCTAAATTAGTTAAGAACAAGAAAATATTATTGAATCAAGATTAGTCCAGACAAAGGCTGATTCAGCTGATAGACATCTGAACAATCAACCCTCTACACTACAGCAAAATCTCATTTAACTATCCTGCTCAGGACCAAGACATCGCCAATTAAGTGGGAGAGCCAGTTAAATCTTGAGTGTAAAAATAACAAACTTCAATATTAATTTAATCATTATAGTGGGTAAAAATTAAAATACATTAAGTAAAAATTATTGTAGACTAAAATAGTGGGAAAACTTAAAGGTAACGTTTTGACCCGACTTTGCAAGTCTTCTTCAGGGTTTGGACAAACAAGATGCAAAAGGATATTCAAAAATACTATGTCACTTCCATAATTTTCTTTATCCTTTTATATCTTGTTCGTTCTAGCTCTGAAGTAGACCTGCAAAGTCGGGTCAAAATAGTTTTTCCACTATTTTAGTCTGCTCTTCATGAATGCCACCCCAGACCATCTCCTTCCTCTAAAATATACAGCGGTCAATCATTAAGTATTCAAAAATTATTATACATTTAATAAATTTGTTCTATATGTATAAATTAATCGTGAAGTTGAATTTATTGATCCCATTTATAATAACTTTAAATAAAAATTAAGATTAGAATATATGATTTAATTTAAGTATACAAACCTTTGTTCAGTTTTTATTAGTATTCATGAAGTCATTATTTTATTTATTTTTTTCCATATTTACGTAATATTTTCATGAATTAAAAAAAAAAAAGTCATATTACTATGAAGGATATTGAAAAACTTGAGATACATAATACATTTTTTTTTAACTCCACACTATAGAAAGATATCTGTATCTTGTTAATATCAAGAACTGTACTATCCTGTTGATTTCCATAATTTCATAGATCATGATTTACTGTAGTTAAAATTAATTTCTCTATTGTGTGTTATCAAATATTTAGTTTGAATAATTTAGTTCTGATGGTAGCAAAAATTCTGAAAGTAGTCACGTTTGTGAACAAATTTATTTAATTTTTGTCTCCTTTTTGATTCTGATTAATCCGAAGTACCAGTCAAGCACAATTGTATTGTATTATTTCCTTCCAAATTGTTTCTGACTTCTTATTTAGTTTGTTTTCATTAATCTATTTTGCCACATTTTTACTTAATTTGATGTTTCAAAATTTTCATCTAGTCTTCTCTTGGTATATTTGCTGAGGTTGTGATATTATGATTTTTTTAGGGCTGTATGTGCTGCAATATATCTTCAATTTTGTTTTGATTTCATAATGTGGCTAAATCCAAATAATTATATTAGATTCACATTGTTTTGCTGTTTTATGATTTTGAATTCTCGGGATCACATTTTTGTAGAGATCTGACTATTGTTGCTAGTGAACATTGAGAGATAGGGGTTAAATATCCAGAACTTCCAAGAGATCGGTAAAAGGGGTTAAGATATGGAATAAAATAAATTAAATCATATGAGATTTAGGAGAATCAATAAAAACAAAATTATGTTTGTAAGAAGTTCTGAAGAAAACCACTACATACAATGAAAATTTGATAAAGATAATGGTGGGAATTGATTCCTATAAGGCTTCTCACTTTTATGAAATTTTCATCTTTGAGCTATTAAAACTTTTATTTTATTTTTTTTTTTACTTTGTTTATTAGCCATTGAAGCACCCCTAACACCATAGCCCTCACCATATTTTGATCCCATATATATGTATATAGCTCCACCCACGATAAATGTAACATTTCACCCATTACAAATTAGTTATTGTATTTGAAACCCAAGAGTGGTTTCTTGATTTTATTGAATAAATTTTAATTAACGATTTTTTCATGTTATTATTGTTATCATTTTTGAAATTCTTCTTCTAACTATACTTTGTATTATTCAAATCAAATAATATTGAAATATTAATCCTCGTAAATCTGTCTAATAGCTTATTTTTAAGAACACACCATAGAAGGTATTATGTTATGAAGATTCATCTCCCTAACATCAAATTTGGCTCCTTAAATTCATGTCACCTAATCAGAAAAAAACTGTAATGGTTCGAAGTATCAGAACAAACATCAATAAATCTCATGAATAATTCATATAAGTCATGATGAGGAAGGGTGTTCCATTCCTTCAATATAATTATAATAATTCTTAATAACATTGATCTTTTTGAACTAATCTGTGACTCATCATCATGTTATTGAACTAATGCAATCATGATGTTGATCAGATCAAATCAAAATCATGCAAGAGTTTCATCATATTCCATAGATTAGTTGCATCGAGATCTATAATTGGATCCCTTTAATATTTCAATGCCAATGAAGATTACTTTTTCAACCATATAGATTCCTGAGATTTGATTTATTTATGTTTTGGCTAGAGATAAGAGACTACATTAAATTTTTCTGTCATAAACATTGAATAGAACAAATAATTACTTAATAAACGCATCTAAAGCACAATTTGGAACTGTAAAGAAAAGTGATGCCACACAACATTAAAGAATGAAACAAAATTATTCTTATTGAGTTGTTGGCATAAACTGAAAAAAGTTAAATAGGGTTTCTTTAAATAGTAAGAATTCATTTCCATTGCACATCTGGATCAGCACATTCATTAGAGATGTTATAGTTTATAAATTTACTTATAGGTTATAAATTATATTGTAACAAAATGATATGTTTTTTTGTGGCTTAATAGCTTTAAAAAATTATGGTTTAATCGATAAACCCATTTATTTATTTTTTTGCAGTTTTCCCCAATCCATAGTATGATTTAAGGTTTTTTTTCTGTGATTAGGTGGAGGCACTGCAGTTACCACTGTCTTCAACTTCTGGCTGCTCGATCTCTTCTATTTATGGTTGAAGGGAGCACGGTACAGGCCCAGCTGGCACAGGAACCTCAATTGAGGATACTTGCAACTGCGCTTGACTCAACACATGATCCAGTAAGAATATATTTATTAAATATATTTTAAAATAATTCATTCATGATTCTAAAGAACAGAGGTTCTTAAACTGTAATCCACAGATCCCTGGGTATAGCCATTACTGGGGATTCATAATATAATTTTGACACTAATTTTAGATCCCCCATATTTTTTCATGTATTCAAATAAGTCATTTAATAAAAATTCTACATGGTCAAGATGTTTTGTATTTGTTGCTACTTGAATATTTGTTGAAATAATGACATAAAATGTTGAGAGTTGGATGAAGTCAGCCAAAAAAAAAAAATTACGAGTTTAAGAATATCTGTTGTAGAGCTACACTGTTATGTATAGAGAATTCTTGTTTTATTTTTCAGCAACTGCTTACATTGGTTTTGCAAATTGTGGCAACACTTGCTCTCGATCCTGCAAACCATCGGGCTTTGACTGATCATGGTCTCCCAGATGTTCTGTCACAACTCCTGTTGCCTTCAGATGAATGGTACTATACCAATCATTCGACCAAATATGCACGTTATGTCAAACATCATGTAGCAAGGATTCTAGTATATTTGGGCTTCCAACACAGAGTCAATCTTCGATTCTCTGTCTACGACATCCTACATGGTAAATAACCTCAAAATTATATATGCTAAGATAATTTTTTTTTAACATTAATTTTAAAATAGTTGCTTCCATGGTTAGCAAATGTCCAAAGGTTAAACTGAGAATTATAACGATTTTGCTAAATCTGATACTTTAGAAATGAGCTTTGATGGTGAATATACAGTAGGCATTGGGAAGAGAATCGATCCATGCATATATACAGGCAAGTTTCAGTGGTATCAACTATTCCAATTTACTGAACACTTTTTATTTATATTACTGATGAAGGGGTCTATCAGAGTGATTTGAAACTGATGATTCATGAACAACCCATCTCTAAATGAAACTAATTTAAATTGAAATATTAAATTAAATATGCTTTTATAAGAAAAAGTATATACAAATAAACTAAAACAACTTAAATTATATTTTTTTTTACAATAATGTTCTTTTTTATCTTTATACATTAGTCATTATCTAAATCAAGAGTCACCAATTTAGAGTTCCCAGACACTAGTGTGCTCGTGTAATCTCACTCATGCCTGCAAGAGCAAAAGTGTGCCTACCTAGTTGTTAGCTCCCTCTTAGTTTATGTCAAACTTCAAATGAAAAGAATGAAAGTGGACTGTATCTTCAAACATTTATTTTGGAACATTTACGAAATCTAATATTGAAAACATAAAAACAAAATGAATCAATTTTACACTTGTTAGATACGTAAAAAAAATAACAAACTTCTAGCAGAAAATAAAGACCAGCTGAACAAACAATTGTGACAATATTAATGAAATATTTTCATGCTTGATCATAAAAGAAAAAAACTATTTCTATGGCCCAAATTACAATAAAAATAAAATTAAAAAAAAAAAACACTTTTCTAGAGTCCCAATATGAAATTTATATATATGTATATATATATATATATATATATATATATATATATATATATATATATATATATATAACAAATAATTAGATTGTACAACGTTACGTGGACGAAGCAAGACGTTCGTAAACCTCTGTCTCTATGCAGAAACCAATTGTAACTCTTCAATGAGCGTGTTCGAAACGAACTGCAAACGGGCAGCGGCGAGCACGACGAGAGAAGTACGTCTATTCACAGTAGAACTGCAGTGGGCAGTGTTGAAGTTGGCAGTACTCAGCTCAGTGGCGGGCAGAGTCAGACTGTCTATTGTCAATTCTACCGCCTTATGACTTGAACCTAGCACTTGTTTATTGCTAGTGCTACAATCCATAACAAAGTAGTCCAAGTATAAACTATTGATCTATTTAATATAAACAATATAAGCTATGGGCCTATAATACTTAATATACACATATCTTATACATAAATATACATATTATTAATTGATTTCACTTTGCTAAAATAAAACAAATCAACAATTAATCAAACTAGTTAAGGGTAAAATAAAATGAATTAACGCTGTGGCATTTTTAACTGTAAAAATAAAATAAATTAACGCTGTGGCGTTAACACTAGTTCTAATGTAACCTAAAATGGTGATCATCCTGGCAACAGGCTCACTGTTGCCTGGTCAACAAGTTTTAAAAAAAATAACAATACATATATTAATAATTGTCTTATGATTTATTGCAATTTTGGGGGATTATTTTGAAAATAGTACTTGTTTTAGGAAACTTTGAAAATAAAATCATAGAATTTTCTGTTGTTACTTTCACTTACTTATATATTTAATATATAGTAAGGGAAAGTATTGTGATCGTGAAGATTTTTGAATCTGAGTTTTCAACGGAAATACATGTTTTGAGATCCTCTGAGTCCAAATAACCAAGTCGCTCAAAATGGTTTGTGTGCATGTTTTGGGTGCTTGGGTACGTGTGTGTGTGAACAGTCTAGCTCAAAAACGAAAAGTCTTACGAAACTGATATTAAGTATTTAATATAGGAATATGATTTGAGATTTTATAGAAACTTTTTTCTTAACATCGGCTAACTGGAAGTGACACTTTATATTAATGGTTATACATATTTTTACAATTTTCTCAAAAAGGGCACTAACAATTTTGATTAAATTTGGTGTATCATTATATAATTAAGTGGTATTTTATATCATTTAGGTCTTATCCCTATAGATGTCACTTTACAGTGATTAAATGCCCGATGTTCAACATGTCTTTCTCTAAAGTACCTGGGTTTATTTTGAATAATTAACTATCTCTCATTGTTAGGAGTTATAAAAAAATGCTAAATATAACTTTTGAAAGAATTTGATAATCTGAAAATGAAAAAAAAGGGAAAATGTGTTTTGAAGTAAAAAATGAATCTCCAGAAATACTAGTCAGGAGGTATATGTATAATTTCTCGTTGGAAAGTGGAGAATTTTAGAAAAAATAATATCTAATATAGAAAGCAGTAGAAGATAATGCAGAGTGACCAAAAATTATAAATATTAATTTGTGAAAACTAATATTATTTAGAGGAAATCACATGTTTTCAAGGAAATTCTATGAAATTTACTTACTACATGTAATACTTCAAATATATTTTTACTTTTGTAGAAAGTATTTAAAATCCACCTAATCAAGGCAATGACATTGTTAAAAAAACTACTTTATTGTACTTGTGTGAAAGAAGAAGTGAAATATAAAAATATTTTATGGATGTATAAAGAATATTTTTATAATTTTGTATAGATTTACTGTATTACTGTTTAATAATTCTAGATTTGATATTACATTTAAATAATTATGTATCAACGTCCGTTTATTCTGAAAAATCGTCATTCAACCTTTAGAAAATTAAATTAGTGAATAGTTTGATGAATTTTTCCTTTTTGAAATCCCAACATTATCCGCTTAAAATTAGTGTAACTACTTTTGACCTACCTATGGCAGGCAATGAAAATCTCATAATTTCACTATAGCTAAGTTAAACAACCCCGAGCATGGTTAGCACTTGGATGGGTGACCGTTCGATTTGGGTGGCCCTCCATCAGGGAAAGCCATGCTGCCCGAGATACCCCTCCCCCCCCCTCAGGTATGTGAGGTCCGTCAGCCTACTTGAGGCAACTCACACCGACTGGGTGTAGGACTGATGTCCCTACCCCCGTGCACTTAAATCAGGAATCTGGATGTGGTCTAAGAGAGATATTTACTGACCCATTTCTTTCAGCAGTTCTTTATTGTTCCTTCTCCTACATGTGTCAAGGTTCTGGTCCCATATAGGTCCTGTTATCCTACGTAGAACTTTTCTTTCGAATTTCTCAATTCTGGTTTCTAGTGTGCCGGTTACAGTCCAGGTTTCACAACCATACAGCACAACTGGCTTAATCACGGCGTTGTACACCCTTATTTTGAGATTTCTGGAGATTTTTCTGGATTTCAGTACCCTGGTGTATCTCTGTTAGTTGATCATTTATTGAGGTTATTGAGGAGCCAAGGTATTTGAATCTGTCTACTTTTGGGAATGACTTAGAGTCCACACGGATCATGTTATTAGGGTGGATGTTTCGGCTATCTGTCATGTATTTTGTTTTATCTACATTGACTTATAGTCCGATTTGCTCTGATTCTTTTAACAGAGTCTGAGCAAGTCTCTCAATATCCTCTTGATTACTTCCGAGGACATCTATATCATCGGCATATGCTAGGATTTTGTGTTTCATTCCGACGTGCACCCCTCCATCTTCACGTGATGTTATTCTTATTACTTTCTCTAGTGCTAAGTTGAACAGTATCAGCGAGAGTCAATGTCCCTGCCTCAAACTCGTTTGAACTTCAAAGGCTTCAGATACTTCTCCTTGTATTATTACTCTGCATTTAGGATCATTTGTACATTTCTTTGTCAATCTCACTAACTTCCCAGGAACAACCAGCTCAGTCATGATCTTCCAGAGAGTTTCTGTCCACGGAGTCATAGGATGCTTTGAAGCCAACTTTGTGGGATGCCTTTGATTAAGCAGCGCTGCTGGAAGTGTTCCTTCCTATATATATATATATATATATATATATATATATATATATATATATATAAGATAAAGACCGGAGACTGGCGATATCAGCCTTAATACCATCTTGTAATGTAAACAAACATGCTAATTGTATATAAGGAGAATTATTGAACGAATAAAGCAGTGTTTATTCAGAAGCCGTGAGTGTTGCATCTCTATCCCTTTCCTTCTTTTTTTTTATTTCTGAAGTCCGACGACGCTTAACTGGTGCTGAAACCCGGGACAACGTCAGGGGAGCACAGCAAGTAATTTTTTTTTTGCTAAGTTTATTTTTTTATTTAGCCATAAGGAAAAGGAGAGGTGCCGACCGAGGGCTTAATTAGACTGGGAGTATTAAGCGCACCGGAGATTCCTCAACCTCAGGAAATCCCTCAGGTCAACCAGGTACCTCAGATCACGCCTCAGGTCCCTCAGATACCTCAAATCCCTCAGGTAGCACAGATTCCTCAGATCCAGGAGATCCCTCCATTACCGAGGGACACGTTGGCAGAAGCGCACGCCAACGCCTTGGAATGGATGAAAATAAGAGCAGCAACTACGCAGGACTTACGGAGGGCCATTGCGGACCTGGAAGGCTTCGGAGGCGAGGTAGGTGAGCTCAACCATTTCTTGAAAGGCGGAGATCGCCTCATGTCAAGAATCGAGGTAAAGGTGGCGGAGGATCTGGTGAACCTAGGGGACGCAGAAGCACTAAAAGCAGCTCTTGTGTGCCGAGTAAGGAGGAACGTCCTGAACCAGATTCAAGCGGACGAGGAGACTCCATGGCCGGTGATTAAAGAGCGGTTGAAGAAGGCTTTCGGAGGAGGTAGATGGACGCCGGAAGAGGATATCTTCCAAATGTTTAGGGAGCGGCGGTCCCAACGACAGACGAGGGGACAGTACGCAGGGGTACTCGTGGCGAAGTACAACCGCATAACCGAGAAGATGCATGAAACGATGAGCGTGGGAGAGGTCGAAGCCGGGATGGAGTTCCTGTCGACAATACTGAAAGTCCAGCTGGCTAAGGAAACGGGGAGGAGGGACGGACTGCCCAGAGAGCGATCGTTCCTCGAATGTGCCCAGGAGATGATCGACCTAAGCGCAAGAGAGGAAGAGACGCGGATGGACGTGGAGGAACCGGGATGGATCCGAGTGACGGATAGACGACCACGGACAGCCCCGACAGGTTGGAGGAAGAGGGACATAAGGCAGCAGAATGGAGAAAAGGCCACGATGGGTGAGAGGAGATCCGGACAGTCGTCGAGGCCGAGGGTCCCCGGAGGGAAGAGAGAAAATGTCACGGGTGTGGGAAGCCGGGACATTTGGTAGCGCAGTGTCTGCGCACTAGATGCTTCGAGTGCGGGACCGAAGGGCACATAGCGAGACAGTGCCCATACATGTTTCGCAGGAGAGAGAGACCTCAGGACGAGCCGATGGAGGTGAATGTACAGAAAATGAAAAGGCGAGCTAGGGTGCAGCAGAGGGATGGATTTTCGGAGGAGGCAACCAAAGAGTCGGGAACTTCGGGAACGGAGACGAACGAACCAGGCAGCAGCGGAGGCGAAGGAGGCAGGGGCAGCAGCCAACGGAGCGAGCAGCGACGAGTGGCGGCAGTAAGGAGGAAGCGGGGCGACATCTGAGGAGTGTGTCAGCAGAGAGGCGACCGCACAGCAACATGCAACAGTGTCCGAGGTAAGCCACGCTGGTTGCCAATTATTGAAGTAGACGGGGGAGTAAAGTGTCTTGTGGACACGGGTAGCTCGAGCACTATCATGACCCGAGGGGCGTTAGGGAAAGTGTGCGGGAGCGAGAGGGTACTCCGGATACAGAAATGCGACTGCCAGCTGATCACTCTGGGTGGTCCCTGTAGTGTAGAGGGGGAGGCGATAATTGGGCTTGATCGGTGGGCAGGGAAAGAGGGTGAGCTAAGGGTGCATGTGGTAGAGAACATGACACGGGAATACCAGGTCATAGTAGGGTGCGATCTGTTAGGGCAGGTAGGGGCGAGCATCAGAAACCATAGGGGAGCCTGGAGTATTAGGCTGGGAAAGAGGAGGTTTGGATGTGTAGAGAAAAAAGGGTGCGGATAGGAGCGGTGAACATCGTGGAGGACTGGAGGAAGTCGCTACAAACGGAGTTCGAAGATATTTTCTTCAGGGAAGGCGAGGTATTGGGGGTAACGGGGAGAACGGTGCATGAAATCGCACTGAAGCAGGATAGGGTAACATACGTGAAGGAGAGAAGATACCCGCAGGCGCTGAGGCAGTATATTCGGGAGGAATTGGACAGCCTAAAGGAGCAAGGGATCATCGTTGATAGTACCTCACCATTTAATAGTCCCCTGTGGGCGGTGAAAAAGAAGGCAGTGCCGGGGGATAACAAGGAAAGATACAGGGTAGTAATAGACTATCGGAAATTAAATGACAACACATTGGATGAGAAGTACCTGATCCCCAGATTCGAAGATATACTCGATAGGTTAAGTGGGGCAGTGGTATTTAGCACATTGGACCTCAAAGCGGGATATCACCAAATATGGATGCACCCAGAAGACCAACACAAAACGGCGTTTACATTTGAAAGGGGGCATTATGAGTTCACCAGAATGCCGTTTGGTCTGAAGAATGCGCCCATAACGTTTCAACGTTATGCTTTTGAAAAGCAATTCAATATAACCACCGATGCGAGCGAATACGCGTTAGGGGCCGTTTTGTCTCAGGGAAGAAGTGAGGGTGAGCGTCCGATAGCGTACGCGAGCCGTCGGCTTACAGGTGCGGAATCAAGGTACAGCGCTTTGGAGAGGGAGCTACTCGCGATAGTGTGGGCTATCGACCATTTCAGGCCATACGTGTTCGGGAGAAAGTTTCGAGTCCACACCGACCACAAACCCCTCCAGTGGGTAGGGAAACTCAAGGAAACCTCAGCTAGGATCACGAGGTGGAAAGAGGGCCTTAGCCAATACAATATAGAGGTGGTATATAAGCCGGGAAAGGAAAACGTGGTGGCAGACTGGCTCTCTAGGGCCATCATGATCAACGCGGTTGAAGAGGACAGGGGAGGACCATCGCGGGACGTGCGTCAATTCTTGAGTGAATGGACTCCTGATGGCGAAGGGGCAAATGATACCGCAGGTATAGAGGACAGGGAAGAGTCCCCAGAAGAGGAGAGCTCAGCGGAGGAAAGGACAGCGGAGATGGACGAAATAGATGAAATCGTTAACGACAAACATCGTCAGGTGATCTGGAAGACACGAACAGCCGGGATCATGAAAATAGATTTCAGAAGATATGGGAGGAATAGGATTTGCGTCATTTGGTCGCAACCCTGGGTAAGCGAAGAGCAAATCTGTACGGCACTGAGGGATGCCTACGGAAGCGGGTAAAACGCACTATCTATATGTGGGGAATAATACAGTATGGGACAAGATCAAGCGAATGTGGAGATCCGAGCGAATAGGCGTGGACAGGACATTCATCCGGTGCAAATATGCGGTGGAGACGATACAAGACGAAGAGCAACAGCAAGCAGTCACATTGGCATATCACCAGGGGAAAACCAACCACCGAGGCGTGAACGAGACGTTGCAGGCATTACGTCGAAAGTATTTCTGCTGGGGCATGAAGAGATCCATCCAGGAAATCATTGGGAAATGTGAGATATGCATGCGCACAAAATACGATCGACACCACCCCAGAGGAGTTCAGGAGGAGACACCTACAGGGAATATGCCGCTACAAGACCTCCAGATTGATACTTTCACCTGGAAAGGGTTCAAGTGGGTCACTATAATCGACGTTTTCAGCAAAGTGGCGATGGCACATCAGGTCATGGACAAATCAGCCAATGCAGTGACAGAAGCCCTACAAACCTGGGTGCAGTTCTATGGGGTCCCCGAGAGGATTACATCAGACGGTGGTAGGGAGTTCGATAATACCGCGATTAGGGAAGAGGTGAAGCGATTGGAGATTGCGTGGCATTATAACACCCCGGGACATCCTAAAAGTAGAGGCGGCATCGAACGGTTGCACAGCACGCTGAGTGACCACATCCGTGTATATCAGGGAGAAAAAGGGTTGGAGCCAGATGTTGCGATTAAGAAGGCGGTAACAGCCTATAACCACTCGATCCACTCCGTAACGGGATTTTCACCCGTAGAAATTCTATTTGGGACGCGCAGGCCAAGGCGGGATTATGGGGAAACAACGATTACCGAACCGTTAGTAGAGCAAATTCAGAGCAATAGGTTAGAGGTAGAGAAGACATGGGGAAAGGTAACGACGAGAATTAAGCGGGAAAAGAAGAAGCGGGTGGAGAGGCAGAATGTGCAGGTACGCGACCGAATGGGAGAACTAAAGATCGGAACAATAGTGTACCGTAGATTAGGAACCAACAGAGGGAAACAATTGCTACGGTACGAGGTTCCATTCAGAGTGGTTGCTATTAGGGAGCATAATCTGCTAACTATCGAAAGTGTTAATGAACCTAGAAACAGGAGAACTGTTCACATTGAACAATTGAAGCTCCAATGATAGAACCAGAACATAGACCAACGGATTCGTAGTACCCTCACCGCTGTATATAAGAAATATGTTTTTTTTTTGGCTGTCAAAACATAAATATGGTGTAATTTTTTTTATGTAAATAGAATTATAGCAATATAGTAGAGGAAGTTGTATTATTTTTTGTTTAGGTTATTAAGAGTTCTGTTCTTGGAAGCAAGTGCTGTGTTTAGTTTCTGTGTTTTTTTATTTTATTTTCTCGTTCCAGCTGAGTGGAAGTGAGTTTTAGTCTCTTTTAAGGGTATACTATAAGAACAATTGTAAAGTGTTAAGGCTGGTAACTGTTGGCTCCGATCTAGGAATATTTAAGTTTCCGAAAATCCTGTTCGTAAACTGGTGGGGGGGAGATAAAGACCGGAGACTGGCGATATCAGCCTTAATACCATCTTGTAATGTAAACAAACATGCTAATTGTGTATAAGGAGAATTATTGAACGAATAAAGCAGTGTTTATTCAGAAGCCGTGAGTGTTGCATCTCTATCCCTTTCCTTCTTTTTTTTTATTTCTGAAGTCCGACGACGCTTAATTTATATATATATATATATATATATATATATATATAGGTTACCTGTGCCTACGTTAAAAATGCACCTCAAAAATTTTATAAGTGCCCAACATTGCCTGAAAATAATTTCTATTCAAAGTAGAGTGATAAGTGAAAGTTGTGTGTTGCACACACCAGATTTTTTTTTGTCAGCATTATTGTTTTTTTAATTTATCTTTGTTTTACATGGCAGTTGTCAGTAGATGAGTTTTCAATGTAATGTTTTACGATTTTTTTCTTGATGTGATAAATATATATATGAAATTTATGGATATATAAGTCTACTAATTTAAAATATTTAGTTTATTGATATTGTTTATAACATCAGTATTGTTTTGTTTAATCTATTTATTTGACAGTAAAAAAAATGAATGACTGTTGATAACACTACTAGTTTTGGAAATAATAAAAATTGAATTATTTCAATAAATATAAAATAAATTGTTAAGAAAAATAAGTATTCTTATTTTTACCTATGAATGAGATCTCTTTACTGAATATGTACCATTATATGAAATCATTATACATTCATTCCATTATATGCAATCTGACATGTTAAATATTAATCCAGATGATGCACCTCCTCCAACACCACTTCTAGAATCCATTGAAGATACGTACATAATCAATACATCAGCACCACCTAACTCAGTGTCTTGTATTCATAGTAAAACACTCCTTGGAGTATCTGTTGAAAGTGCGGTCATCAGTGTTCTCAAATCCTTGGAGGTAAGGAAATTATATTGTAACATCCCTCTTAAATTTTACAAATAATAATAATAATATAACCTCATGGCAGACCACTTTATACCATTGGGATACTCCCTAAATAAATAAGAGGTTATTAAATAATAAAAAAAATTATAAGAGTATTAATATATTTATTTATCTCAGGTATGGGTTACTGACAGTCAGATCACCTCAGACAAACTATTATTATTTACACTAAAATTAAACACTGATTCTATAATAAAGTCAAGTATGGATTGACAAGCTAACCTTTTTTCTATAGATACTTTTTCTTCCTTTGTTGCCCAAAATTCATTTGTCTTCAAATACTTTCTAATGTTCTACCAAACACAACTTCCAAGATGGTAATACTATTACTGGGTTTTACCCACTGGAGCCAATATCACTTCTCCCATTCTCTCTTCACACCAGCCAAACACCAACTACTCTCCAAAACAGATCCTTTGTCCCTCTCCTCTTTGGGATTTTCCTTCTTGGGAAACTACAGAGCAGCCATTTTCGTTTCTCTGCACTAGTAGAACTAGATTAACTTGCCCTTTAATGGTTAAACATTAATTTATTAAACCCTTTTTACTCACTTACAGTAAAGATGTACATTACAATATATATATATACATATATATTGTAACATCTCTCTTATATTTTACAAATAATAGTAATATAACCTCGAAAGCTCACTTCTTACCATTGGGATACTTCCTAAATAAATAAGAGGTTGTTTAATAATAAACAAAATTGTAAGAGAATTAATATATTTATTTATCTCAGTTGTGGGTTACTGGCAAACAGATCATCTCAGACAAACTATTATTATTTACACTATTTATACCAAAATTAAACATTGATTTTAATATAATGTCAAGTATGGATTGGCAAGCTAACTTTTTTTCCATAGATACTATTTCTTCCTTTGTCGCACTAAATTCATTTGTCTTCAAATGCTTTCCAATGTTCTGCTAAACACAACTTCCAAAATGATACACTTTCTTCTACTCATCTCAGCTCCCGGGAGATCCTCTCTCTTGTAATTCCAAACAACTAGTCTCTCTACCAAACAACAACTTTCAAGATGGTAATACTATTACCGGGTTTTACCCACTGGAGCCAGGATCCCTTCTTCTGTTCTCTCTTCACTGCAGCCAAACACCAACTGCTTGCTAAAACAAAAACCTTTGTCCCTCTCCTCTTTGGGATTTTCCTTCTTGAGAAACTATCAGCCATTTTCTTTTCCCTGCACTAGTAGAACTAGATTAGCTTTCCTTTTATTAAACATTAATTTATTAAACCTTTTTTATTCACTTCCAACAAAGGTGTACATTACAATATGTGTATGTATATATATATATATATATATATGTATTCTCCCAACTAATGCCATCATATATTTATAAATATCAATTAATATAAATTTTATTATTATTTTACAGTCTTCTGTAACTTCTGGTGGTGCAGCTGAGTACTCAACTCTTCATTGGGTTCTCAGTGGTCATTCATACTATAATCATACATATAACTTATGTAAGTGCTCTAGTTTTATTTTTCTATTAGCACATAACCTATTTTTAACATAGTGCAAATTTCAAGTGATAGTCATAGTTATAGAAGTTCATTGATGAAAAAGAGAGGCCCTTAACATAATTTTTTAGTTGTTATTTTTGGTTACATATTCAGAATCACAAATTCTTGTTCTATTAAATATAAAATTAACAAATGTGGTGTATTCTTCTTTCAAATAAATTTGTATGTTTTTACTTAAATGGCTACAGATACATATACATGATGGGCATGATGTAGGGTTTATAGTTATAAATATCTGGTGTGTCCACTCACACGACTTTCCAACCTATTTCAGAAAAGTTTTTATATCTTTACATATGTTCATGAAGAAACAAAAAAGAATTGAACTAGAGACATTCTCCTGAAAATTGATCTAGAATAAGATTTGAGTATGATTTATTTGATAAACTAAAGCAATGTAAACCGGCTTAAGGTAGATCAGTGTAAAATTTTCAATACTTCCTAATATTGCTTGTCGAAAACCGCATGTCGGAAATTTGACCCGATAGCAATACTTTCCTTACCTAGTATAGGTAGGAAAGTAAAAAAGTTGGGCTTGTAATGAAAAGTTTACTTGTACTTTTAATAAGTCCCAATATGAATGAAATCTTTATTTTCATTTATTTTTCTGTTATTTCAAAACTAGAAACTTTTCCCCTTACAACTATCTGATCAAAGTTTTAAAGAACTTTTATTTAAAATTAGATTGTGTTGGTAGTACATTCTTAGCTGCTCAAACAAAGGAAAAATTAGAATCAAGCAATTCATTCACTTCTCTTCTTCTTCCTCCTTTTATGCCTTTCAGCATGGAGGAGCCTCCAGTCACTTCAATTATACATCCCGCTCTCTTGCCAATTCCTTCATCTAACCTAGTGTTTTTCCTCTTTCTTGACCTTGCCTTCTTTTTTTTTTTTTTTTTCTGGGCCTGGGGTCTGGGCCAGGAAGTGTGGGCGGGGATTTAAAAACTCCTCCTTATGTCTTAAGTCTTATGTATCAGGTTGCCGGGCAACGGCAGTGCAGTGCACACGTGTTAGCCCATTCGGCCACCATGCCCACCTTCTTGACCTAGTCGCTAGATATGTTCTTCTAGGCCTATCTCTTGGTCTCCTGCCAGTTGGCTTCACTTCCATACATTTCCTTGGTACTCTCTTTTCTCCCATTCTACATATGTGCCCATTCCATCGAAGCTGTCGGCATTCCACAGTTACTTTCAGTGAAGTCATCAGGAGTTCCTCTCTTATTTTCTCATTCCTTACTATGTCTCTATTTATTTTCCAAATATTCTTTGTAAAAATTTCATTTCAGCAGCCACGATCTTGCTTAAGTGCTTATCTTGGTTGACCAGCTTTCACTGCTGTATAATAGTGTAGAGAGATAGACTGCTTTAGCTTTATATATGTAGAGTTTGAAATTCCTTCCTACCTCTCTGTTTCCCACAAATTTGTTGCAGATCTGGTAATATATACTGTTTGCTTTCTTTATTCCGTTGGAAACTTCTGGATCTATTTTCTCTGATTTGTTAAAAATTGTTCCAAGACAGATGTAGACTGCTACTACATGTAGGCAGATGTAGTAGTCTACATCTTCAAGCTCTTCTCCATTGTATGTCATTGTTTAATCTCCTAAGTTCCCCTCATCTTTGCTACAGTCATTACTTTACTATTTTGGCAGTTGATACTCATTATTTTATGAGTGAGTTTTCTTTCCATTCTATAATGGCCTGTTGCATTTTTTCTTGAGAGGCAGTCATCAGCACGATATCGTCTGCATATAAAACAGCTGCACTTGAACTATCCTCATGTTCCATATATTGACTGCAGTCCAAGCAATTCTTCTTCTGCATATTTTGTGGATTTCATCCATTAAGGTGATAAACAATAATGGACTCAGTAATAATGGCTGCCCCTCCTGTTTCACATCTGGTTCCAACGGAAATGGCTTGAACTTAAGACCATATGTATTCCTTTGGGACTTTCATATGTTGAATTTATTGCTGTCAGAAGCTCCTTGGGAATAGTGCTCTCCATATTTTACATCAGGGTACTGAGTCGAAGGTAGCTTTCAAGTTTAAGAAAGCGATATATGTACTTCCTTTTCTACTCCATGCCTTTTGTACAACATTTCAGAGAGCAAATATGTGGTCTTGTGTTTGCCTTCCTGGTCAGAAACCAGCCTGATGTTCTAATTCTGATTCTATCAATGGCCTTGACCGGTTTTCTGATATAGTGGTGTACATTTTATAGGTCACTTGGGACAGGCACATAGGCCTGTAGTTGCCACATTCAGTTGTGCTATCTGTCTTATGAATTGGCACCATGATGTAGTATTCCCAGTCCTTTGGAATAACCTTATCATCCCATATCTTCTAAAATTGCTTCTATTGATTTTATCATTTCATTTTCTCCTTATATAATAAACTCTGGGAAAATGCCACCTCTACATTCTGCTTTGCCTAGCTTTAGTTTTCCAGAGCCCTCTCTGTATCATCCTCCCAGATCTTATCATATTCAGCCACTTGATTGATCTCTTCCTTGTGTTCTAGAGGTTATCTGAGATCAGAAAAATGTGAAGAGTAATACTGTTTTCATCTATCCAAGATCTTATCTTCACTGCAACTCATTCACGATAAATTATATTTGCAAACTAAGCCTAATCACTGTTTATTTTCCACTTAACCTAACTTTTTAAAAAGACTTTGACAAATAAAAGTTAAAATTTTACAACAAACGCTATCACAAAAATGTTCTTTGAATTTTGAGATTTCACTGAAATTGCTAAAAGATAACTCTTTTGAAAACTTTCAACCCCTGATAAAAATTAGTTTTTCCCAAGTTACCACAAATATTGTAAACATTCATTTTTTATTTTTAAAAAATACTATTTATGCATAGCAACCATTCGGGTTTAATAAAAAATGACTATTTTTTAATAATTTACTTAAACTGAAAACAGTTGTTCATAGTGTAAATTTGTTTTTTAGAACTTGGATAGATGGCTTAGGATTGTTCATTATTTATTTTGTAAAAATGTTTACATATTTTCTAATGAAGCACCTTACTACTAGTTCTGGGATTTATCTTGAAATAAATCCATAATTACTATGTAAAAGAGAAATAGCTCAATATTATTTGGAGAAAATGTATTTTATAACGATTGGAAAGCGATGAAGGAGCAGGATTCGCCAGGAAGTGAATCATAAACAATTCAGAGAAATATCGCCTGAGGAGCAATCACAACAAAGTTAAACATTTGCTTATTGTTATGAAAATAATGAACGCCTCCCCATAATTGTTGGAGTGACCATAACTCGTGATTTATCCTAGCTAACCTTTTAAAAAACATTGAGTTTTAAATCATTCCATTTCAACTATTGTAATGAAATAATACTATTATGTTTTTTTTAATTACTTATGCTTACTTTTGAAACTCCTTTAGGTCAGAATGACAGGAAACCTCCATCTGATGCATTGTCTTCAGTTTTTGCTCAAGCTTTCCTGACATGTTATCCAGCTGTCCTTTCCCCAGTTATTGTACTCCGTCTCCTTCTGCATAGACTGCTAACAACAGCAGCACACCTGCAAAGGTGGAAGTCATGTACTTCAAGATCCTCTTTTGCTTCAGCAGCTCATGAAGTTCCTCGCAGTCCCCGCAGTAGGGCTTCCTCAACTGATACAGAACCTTGCACATTGAGGACACGGAGGAAGGTAACATCCTGCTATTATTCATTATATTATAAATTGCATCAAAACGATAATTCTTCTTGTTTATTTTTTTACAAGCTATACCATTTCTTACTTTTAACAGCCTTTTAATTTCAGCATGTTTAATTATCATAAATCTATTAAAACTATGAGGTATCATTTAGGTTTTTAAGACTGCGGTAACAATATTTGTTTCAAATAAGAATTCAAACAAATATATGTTAAATTCAAAGATATAAATATGGTGATATTATTCATCAAATCTAATCACCCATTAAAAATTAGACTGAACCTAAAAATAGATCTCACACAATAAATGCTTATAATTTTCTGGCCTTTCTGTAAATTCAGTATAGTTGGGCTATCATGAAGTAAACATCTTTGAAGAAAATTGGGGAAAAGAAAAATAGGTAATGAAACAGGTTCAGTTTCAAGAATTTTTTTCATATTACTGAAAGAGAATTCTTTGTTAGATTATGTGGATTCGCTTTGTTGATGAAAATTTTTAATTAGTTCACTGAATTAATGCCTTTTTCTCCAAAAGTTTAAAGTCTCTTAATGTTGTTATTATATTTTCATAATTTAAAATGTGATTTAATGTTTCTAAATCAATCTGATTCACTATGGTGTTTATGAGGTGCCTGAATTTGAATCTGAGCTTAGATTAAAAAAAACAAAAACAATATTATTGTTATAGTTGAGTTGGAAATGGTGACAATTTATTAATCTGAAATAAATTATAATATCACTCTCACTTTTCGTTGAAGAAGGATGTCAGTTCTAAGGAGTATTTATTTTTTCAGAATTGTTCATTTTGGAAATTTGACCTCTGGTTCAGATTAACTGCTTAGAAAATTGTAAATGAATTTGGATGAATTTGAAAGTTTTATCGCATTATTGAATTTGAAATTTCTTAGCAGTCTGTTTACAGTTTGTGGATTGATTTGAAATATTTGTTGTCATTCTAAAATCTCCATTTTGAATTTTTCATCAACAATCCATTAAAATTCTGAATATATATTTCTTCACAACCTTCTTTGATGATGTTTCATTCCATACTATGCATGTCTAAATATATTTTCGGCAAAGAGGTCACATGTAAAAAAAAAAAAATAATCATAATAGTAGGCATCTATTTGAGCTGTGATACATACATTTAGCTTTAACCTGATTTGGTCAAATTATTGTGAATAAGAGTGTCAGGTTAGATAAAGTATACAAAACATGGGTGTGATTAATTTTAAATATAATTAGGTGTAACTTCAGAAAACATTTCATAAATTAAGGATAAAGTTGTATTATTATATGATTCATAGTTGATTTCAATATGTGCAAATTCATTCGTTAAAAAAAAGGTAAATATTAAATTACCAACGTTTGTGGTACCTAGAGGCTGAAAAATCTCATTTCCCATGGCCAAGTTTCTGCCTATGAAAAAAGAAAAAAATCTCAAAAGTAAGACTTAAACCATGAAAGGTTATATATGTATATTTAGGCTTTGTCCATGTATTTATGTAAGCCATTACATCTGGTTTCATGCTTACAGATTCAACTTTTACTTCTAGGCATGCTTTTATTTAGTATTTCGAAAAAATCTCTTAACTTTTCCTTTTATTAAGTTATCAGCTTATAATTTTGTAAAACCTTCCAAGTAGCTTCCAGATGCCAAAATCAATGAGTTCTCAAAAAGTAATAACATTAAAAATTAACTGATAGAATCATACTATAGAAAATTAATAGAATCATACTATAGAAAATTAATAGAATCATACTATTCGTACTTAAAAATATTATTTAATTATTACTGAAAAACAAAACAAAGAAAACTGTATTTATAGGCATCTAGTAGCTATTTTCTTAGAGTAATATAATATGTACTATAATATCTCTATCATTGCTTTTTCTCTTTCTAATCTGTTATATGAAAATGAGACAGATTTTTTAGCTAAATTTAGTGTTTCTTTTCTTTTATCTATTTTCTCTGTAGAACTATGTAGATTTTAACTCAGTATTATTATATCTTTGAAAATTCTCTATCCTTACTTTTGCTTATGCTTATATATTCTAAAAAATGTCCCTTACCATCCAAAGTGAGTTATCTTAAAAGAGATGGTATTGATGTAGTTTTATCTGTTGACAAAAGTCTTGCACTTCACGCTCTTCATTTGCATCTGGGCCAAGAAGCCCAAGGAGCAGGGCCTCATCAACGGACACCGACCCTGGTACTCTCGCAAACAGGAGGAAGGTAAAAGCCTGGCACACTTCTTCCCCTCGAGGCTGTGTACGACACCTACTTGTTGTTTGTTTCTATATTTATAAAATAACATAAGTGAGCGTCCTTACCATTCTGTCTCAAAATAAAATTATGACTTTTTATTTTTTCATTTTACTTAAATAAACCAATGTCTTTTGTTTAAAAATTTTAAATAGTATGAAAAAGCCCATTTTCAAAATTCATAGTTTATATGATTTATAAAACTATTGAGTTATGACGTTTTCCTCGCAGAAATTAAATATTTAACAGAAGTTCAGACAGTTGATATCAATAAACGTTTAATCAGTTATTCAAGTGAAAAATTCTCTGACTTCTATAACTCATCTGAAATTGGATATCTAGTGTTGAAAACTATTCATGATTGTTAAAAATAGAAATCAATTTTTTTTTTTACTACAGATTATTCATCAGTTAATAATTGTAAGGAGGTAAATAAATATTGATAGTCTATATTTTGAAGAAATTCAAATTCTACAATCAATCCCTGCAAATAATGTATAAAATGAAAACGTTGATTTTTATAATAAGAAGCTATCATTGATTACTGGGATTATTTCCCTAAATCATACTAAGGCTTCATTCCAAAAGAACATTAAGAAAAGCTAGGCATTTATTCTCTAAAAGAGTATTTAGCTTTAAGATGTTACAGTATAAAGATAACAAACAAGATGAATTAATTTGGCTGAGTACAGAACTTCTAACAGAATAGGAAACAAAAGAAAGGAATTAAAGAAAAATTACCTTTCATTTTATATTGCTTACATTCAAAATAAAATCATTTTCATTATATAAATAAAAATTCAAGTGAATGACATGATCCAGAAACTGGACCAGTTTCACCGCAACAAGGTATAGCTATTTATTTTCTAGGCTCTAAGGCTATGTGAAAGGGAGTAATTTACTCTTCCAATAGATTTAAGATAAACTTTGACACTTCTCAAGCTTGATGCACATCAGATCTTGGTATGTACTCCTATACCAAGTTAGAAACCCAAAACCCTTAATGGGTTGAAGCGGTATAGGTTCAAATTATGTAACTTAAATAAAACCTTGAAAATGGGCTTTTGTAACCTTATTATTCATTATTATGTAGATGATGGTACCTCATACTTACTTTATCTGCTTCAGTAAATCAAATGAACATCTATATACCTGAATAAAATCAAAGCAGTCTGACAGAGCTTATAGCTTTATTAAAAAAGAGTAATCAAATCTTAGAAAATGCTTAGATTTTTTCTTTTTTCCTGCAGCTTGTATAAGATTTTTTATTTAATTTGGTAGGCCTTATTGAGAAATGAATCACGCTAAAGCTCAGTATACTAAATTATAAACTAATGCCATGCTCTGCATGTTAACATTTAATCAAGCTGATGAATAATATTGAGTGCTGCTTAAACAAAAATAAAGTTCTCTGCAGGGCTTGAAATGAAAAGTTAACTTTTATTTTCAACAGTTCCGACATTACCTTAATCTTCATTTTAATTTGTTTCATAAATTCAGGTATGACTTAAATCTTCATTCTCACTTGTTTCATCAGTTCCGATATGACTTAAATCTTTATTTTTATTTGTTTCTCTGTTATTTTTAAGATATAACTTTTTCCCATGGAACTTTTTGATAAAAGGTTTTATTTAACATCTATTCAAAAATTCTCTTGAAGCAATTCACTTACCAAAATTTAAACCTAATAAATGGTAACTGTGCTGTACATTCTTAGCTACTTAAACAAATGAAATATAAGAATTTGGCAGTTCATTCAGTACAAAGTATATTTGTAATCTGAGCCCAATTACTGTTTATTTTTCATTTAACATTTAATTTCTTATAAGAACTTATATAAATAAGATTAAAACTGTTACAATAAACCCTGAACTTTATTACTAAATGTTTTTGTCGAAACTGTTAAAACTGAATTTTTTTAGAAAGTTATATTCAAGTTTCAAGTCCTGACTTTCTCCTATTAGATTAATTAAAAAACATAAAAAATTCAGTATTAGAGTGCAGTTCATAGACTTTTAAAACACTATAGACACAATAAGATAACAGTTATAAACTATTAAAACAGATTTATAGATGTTCTTTGAGTTTTATTAGTTAGTTCAACGTACGTGAAATTAATAAATTATAATCAAGTAATTATTTTGTATTTATAAAAAATGTTTTAATGAATTTTTGAAACTTTGACAAACGACCAAGATATATATATATATTTTTTAAAGCTTAGCATCATAATTTGTTATGAGCTTTTTGTACTAATTCCATGGCTCTTGGGTATTGCCACTCCTTTATAATTTGGAAAGTCAAGATTTTATTTATATTATCAATATAAAATAAATACTAGTACATCCAGAAGAGAAATGATTCTTGAAAACAATTCCCATGTCAGAGTAAAAAGGAAAAAATAAAATAAAATCTAGAATCTTGTGGCAATAATTCTTCCAAATGATTTGCATTTTTTTAAATTACATATCTATGCCACAACCAGATCTATTATGTATATCATATAACAGTAAAATATTAATATTAAGATAATCTACAAAGTCAATATTGCAAACAGAATGATGAGAGGTTCACCAAAATTTCAATCAAGAAAGGTAAGAAAAATCACTGAACTGTTAACTGGCAGTTGATTTCTCTTGACAAAGGTGATGAAAATTCCAAGTAGTGACTAAATCTCAAGGGTTCATGGTCTACAGAGTTAAGGCCATCCTGATTATCTTCTCTTGAA